GCGCCCCGCTGCGGGTCCGCTCACACCGCCCGTGCCCGCAGCCCGCCCGCCCTGGCCCTGCTCCGCCCTGGCCGTGGTTCGTCCGGTTCCTTGCTCCTGAGAGCCAGGAGCCAGCGCTCACGAAGCTGACGTGCGCTCTGCAGCCGGTCTGCACTCGGCCTTGCGGGTGACGCTGCCTGGGTCCTTGCGTGGCCTCCCTTCTGCCCTCATCAGGAACTGACCGCTGTGCCCGTCCCCAGGCCTGCCGTTCTGCTGTGCTCTGCAGAACGCGCGGAGACGGCATTCTAAAGCAGACTGCATTGCCTGGCGAGTGTGCTTCGTTCTAGACTGTAGTGTCGGACACGTGGCTATCGGGCAGGGGGACCACTGTCACTGAGGACACACACATTGGAGTAAAAGGAGTCCTCAGTGGCCTGCGGGTTTCCCCCGCCTTAACAGAGACTGGGTCTAGGGCATTGTAAGTGCTAGACAAGTGCGCTATCCCTAATGTATAGCCCCTGTCTCTCTTGTTTATCGGATTGGCGAGGTTGCCCTTAAGCTTGAGATCCTCCTGCCTCAGCCTCCTAGGTAGCTGGGCTTACAGAATTGTAACACTGCCCCTGGCCGTGTGGTCTTTTGATGGCCGTTTCTTCCTACTTAGGTAGGAGGGACTGACACGAGTGCAGGCATCAGGCTCTCATGGCCTTACCTGCTGTGCTGTCTTGGAGTCCTGTTCCTTGTTTCTGAAATGTGCTAGCCTCAGGGACAAGCCCTGACAAGATTCAGGCTGGGAAAAGAGCTACTGCACTGTTTGGAATTTTCCGCGAGCATCTGTGGGTCCAGCAGGGCTGCAGATGACCCCAGTGAGGTCCACGTGCTAACGTGGACAGATGCCACTACGTGATGTGTCTCTTTAATGAGAGAGGTGATGATGGCTCCCCTCTGTCATCCAAGTCCACAGAAATATGTTCAGAACTGGCTGGTAAGGATACAGAAGTAGACTTACTGGGAACGCAGTACAGTCCCATCACCTGAGGGGTAAGTGCTTGCTGAGGAACGTCACGTCTCCATGCGAGGGGCCTGGGTTCAAATGCTGCCTCTTTCCTAGGCCACGTGAGTGTGCATGAACTTGTCGTGTGGCCTTTCAGCGGAGATGACGATAGTGCTGATCTCAGGCGATGTGGCCGTCTCCTGTATTTCTTTTATAAGCATTTTTTCTTCTTTTGATAAGTGGAAAGGTGGAGAAACACTGAGCTGGATTAGAGGCTCAGACAAGCCACACAGCAAGCAGGTATTCATTTCCGGAGTCTGGTTCTTGAGTTGGGGTTCTAGTCACTTTATCATGGCCCGTGGCAGGAGCCAAGCACTCAGCGAGGACCGGTGAGGCTGAGGTGCAGTTGCTATTACTTTTGCTGTCGTTCTTTCCTATTCCTCAGTGTCTCTGAGCCCTTGCTGGGTGTGCCTTACAGCCCCCTGGGGATTGTCCCAGCTGTGTCCCAGTCTGCAGTGTCTTCCTGCCTGGGTAGCCTCTGTCATGCACACTGCTGGGATCTGGCCAGGCAGTACTCTCTGTGCCCTGGAGCACAGCCCTGAGCTCAGCCCTCTGGGGGTGCTTGGTGCTTGGCCCTTGGGTGTCTGTGCCTTTTGCTGTGCTTGAGTGACACAGACTCCTGTCCTGTCACCAGTGCCAAGGCAGATTCTGCTCCCTGTGTTTGCCTTCCCAGGTGTCTGTCACCTTTGAAGATGTGGCTGTGAGATTCACTGCGGAGGAGTGGGGGCTGCTGGACCTTTCCAAGAGGACCTTGTACTGGGAGGTGATGCTGGAGACCTGCGGGCTTCTGCTTGCTGTGGGTAAGGCCCCTCCACCCCCGGAGCCACTATGTCCTCCCTCAGTCTGCCGTCAGACTCCAGGCCTGGCCGGGCAGTGAGACCTCAGGAAGTGCCCTCTTCACTTTATAGTTTCTCTCATTTCTTTGCATTTCACTCTTCCTTCTTGGTCTCCTTGTGTCTCAATTAGCAAGATTTGGGAGGCAGAGTCTTGTGTTTGGTCATCAAGGGGAGGGATACATTAGACAGATATGAGGTTGCAGAACAAAGGCAGCCTTTTTATTATTTTATTTATTTATTCGTTCATTCATTCATTCATTCATCCAGTACCAGGGATTGAACTCAGAACCTGTGCTTGTCAGGCAGGCTGCTTAAGCTGCGGAGCTATCTCCCAGGCCCTAGGGGCAGCCCTTTAGCCAGGGATTCAGGATTGAGTCAGAATTTGTAATTTGGGTCCTTTGAGGGTTCAGTGAAGTTCCTGGGAAGGAGCTCAGTTGCACCAGACTGCAGGTCTCTTGTACTGACGTTCTTTGTGGGTCTCTTTCTATGTACAGACAGCCTTCCTGCCTCAGGGACTTTGTGGAAAGTAGTGTCAGGTAGTGTGAGACCGACATTCCTTTCTCATCTTTCTGTTTATATTGTTTGCTCACACTGCACTCTTGGAATTCTTCTGTAACCCAGAAGCTTTTTGATTTAAGTTTCCCCATCCCTAAGTTCTAGACTAGACTGAGAGGATTCTTTCCCCCACCAATGCCAGTGTTTCCTGCTCTCTACCATGTGCAGGCTGTCCTTTGTCCAAGTCAGAGCTGATCTACCAGTTGGAGCACAGCCAGGACCCATGGACAGCACCAGAAGCCCTCTCCCAAAGCTCCCATCCAGGTGGGTGCCAGCCGCTGGGGGTGCGAGTAACAGTAGCTGGCAGGGACACAGGAGACTGCTGCCTCTGAACTCTGGGAATCAGTTCTGGACAGCCGCTGGGGCAGTGGGGCCATGGAGCCTTTCACCTGAGGTTCCTTCTGCTCTCTGTATCTCAGAACTTTGCTAAGCCACCCCCCCAGGGACTGGCAGGGGCACAATCCAGAAGTCAGCTCCTGGCTCCGCTTGGGCTGAATAGGAAGCTGTGATACAAATGAGCCTTGTGGGCTTGGGGAAGGCACCTTATCTATGTCCTTCAGCCAGCAGCAGTAGAGCTGGCTGCTCTACCAGCCATGCTCCTGCTGTAATCTCACTGTACAGTGTAAGACCCAGGTCCATGGAGGTCGGCCGGGAGCTCGCTGCCAGTGAGGATTCATGGACCTGTTGCCTGCTGCCCACCGCACGGGGATTGATGCATCCCTGGCTGCCTCCCTCTGGTGGAGGGGAGAGGAGGAAATAGAGACATCCCTGCTTCTCACCACACTGCTTCCTGCCCACTCCCCGACAACAGACACACTCGGGGGCAGGGGCTGAAGACTGCCCTCGCTGTGCCTGGCAGACACACACTTGGGAGCCAGTGTCGCTTCCTTCTGGTACTCCTGTTAGTCATCCTCTTCTCCTTAGTCTTTTTGTTGTTTTATTTTGTTTTGTGAGACCGGGTCTTGCTATGTAGCCCAGGCTGGCCTTGAACTGTCAGTGATCCTCCTGCATCCTGAGTACTGGGATTACAGAAGTGTGCCGACACACCAGGCTATCCTTGTCTTGACTGTGACAAATGGGGCTCTCAATTGCAGACACTCTGTCACCTGACCCAAGCAGTCCCTCTTCTGAGTTTCCCTTTAAGAGTCTCAAGAACCCTATGCTAGGCTGTGGAATTTTGATGAGTAGAAATGAGGTCATGCAGTGTTGTGTCACTGAAACATTGCTGACTAGTGGTGTGACAAAGTACTAGATGAGATTTTTCTCAGTTGATAATGAAAAAGTGGTGATATTGTATGAAAACAAGAAAAAGCTTCAAGAGTTATAGGTATAGAAAGCAAGTCATTGCAAAAGTGAGTTTCCCAGATTTCAAATTATTCCAGGAGCAGTCTTATTTCTCATCTTATTCTTACAGAAATGCTGATTTCCTGGTGTTGCTGTCTCTCACAGTCCCTCTTGTGTATTGTATTTCTTTTTCAGGTAGCAGCACAAAACCCAGCAACATCAAGCCCAGACCTGCTCACCAGGCCTGGCCTGAGGAAGCCTGGCTCCAGGACCAGGAGATAGAAGGAGCCTCTGGAGACTCCCTGTTGTCACTGCACCAGAGTCAGGATGGGCCCTGTGAAGTACAAGAAGGACTTCTGAGACCTGGGCTGGCATCCCTAAGGGAGAAGCTTCCTGGGACTAGGAGCCCTCGAGGTGATGGCATGGGGTCGGCTGACAGTGTGTGTTCAGAGACGGTGCATGGGAACGTCTCTCCACACCCAGCTCCCTCTGTCAGTGACTCCCATGGGTCAGCTGCAGATCACTTGGTTCATGAAGGAAAAAATCCCTTCAAATGCAAGGAATGTGGGAAACTGTTTAAGAAGGAACGCTTTCTCCTTCGCCATCAGTGGGTTCACATAATAGTGAGGCACTACGAATGTACAGAGTGTGGGAAGTCCTTCCGCAAGAGCACTCAACTCCTCCAGCACCAGATGGTCCATACTGGAGAAAAGCCTTATAAATGTCTGGAGTGTGGAAAAGCTTTCAGCCGTGGGACTCACCTTAGTCGGCATCAGCGAACACACAGTGGAGAGAAGCCGTATAAATGCACTGAGTGTGGACAGACCTTCGCCTACCGCTCCACAATGATTTTGCATAACAGGATTCACACGGGAGAGAAACCTTTTGTGTGTAATGAGTGTGGCAAAGCCTTTCGTGATAAGGCAGGTTTCACTAGACACTACTTTATCCACACAGGAGAAAAGCCCTATCAGTGCTCAGAGTGTGGCAAGGCTTTCAACCAGAGGTCATACCTCACATGGCACCAGCAGATTCACACTGGAGTGAAACCTTTCCAATGCAATGAATGTGGGAGAGGATTTGGTGAGCGGTCAGCCCTCATCCACCATTATGTCACCCATACCGGGGAGAAGCCATATATTTGCCTGGAATGTGGGAAAGCCTTCCACCGTGGGTCATACCTCAAGCAGCACCAGCGCATCCACACTGGGGAGAAGCCATATGTATGTGGTGAATGTGGAAAGGCCTTTGTCCACCGCTCTACCTTCATCTTGCACAAAAAAGCCCACACTGAAGAAACACCCTATGAGTGCAAAGAATGTGGGAAAACCTTCAGCGATAGGGCAGACCTCATCCGTCACTTCAGCATCCACACAGGAGAGAAACCGTCAGAGTGCATGGAGTGTGGGAAGCTTTTTAATCACAAATCAGGACTCACCAGGCACCAACGGATTCATAGTGGGGAGAAGCCCTACAAATGCATGGAGTGTGGTAAAACATTTTTGCGGAGTGCACACCTCATCCGCCATTCCTTCATCCACACGGGTGAGAAACCCTATAGGTGCAGTGAATGTGGAAAGGCCTTTACCTGCAGCTCCTCCCTCACACAGCATCAAAGGAGGCACATGAAGAAGAACCCTGGGAGTGTGGTAGAGGAGGTGAGACCTTTCACAAGTGTGCAAGCTTCTGTGAACATAGAAGGACTCATATTAGGGAAGGACTTTCTCCCTGTAACCACTGAGGAACAGCACTGGTCAGGGGAATCCCCTGCCACTGCTTCAGGTCATTCATACCAGAGAGAAACTCAGTTAGCACCATCTCTATGAAGAAAATAAATTTTTGGGGGGGATTTGTTTGTTTTTGATACAAGGTCTCACTATGTACTGGCCTGTACTCACTGTGTAGCCTACGCTGGACCCAAACTTGTGGTGATCCTTCTGCCTCAGCCTCCTGAGTTCTAGGATTATAGGCATGCACCCACACAGCCTTGTCATTTGTAATCTGAAGAGTCAAGTTTGAAATTGACCCAGTCTGCAGTCTTACATCTGAGAACTCAGCCATGAGAAAGTGTAGTTGCTATTGTGCTTGTAGGAAAGGTCTTGACTACATTTGCTAGTGTATGTTGAAATGTTATCTCAGGGATAGTGTCATTTGGTTGGTTTGTTTGCTTGTTTTGTGGTATTGCCGATTCAATTCAGGAACTCTGTAGTGAGGTACATCTTTAGCTTTCTTTTTTATTATCATATAGAGTTTCAATAAGTTGCTAAGTTTTTTAGGCGCCACTAGAAGTTTTGATCTCCCTGTCTGAGCTTCCCAGAGTGCTTGGATCACAGGTGTGTGCTATCTCACTTGGTTACTTCTAAAATATTTTTTTAAAATTTTATTTATATATTTATTTATTTTGGGAAAGAGTCTAGCTATGTAGTTCAGGCTGGTCTTGAACTATGTAGCCCATGCTGGCTGGCCTTGAACTTAACAGTGATCCTCTTCCCTCAGCTTCCTGAGTGCTTGCATTTCACTCATACACTTGAAAATGGTTCTTCTAAAAGGTTTTTTTTTGTACCAGGAATTAAACTCAGAGGTTTAATTGTGCTTGCCAGGCAGGTGCTGTGCCACTGAGCTTTATCTCCAGCCCTCTTGTAAAAGTTTATCTTTTCCTTTTCAATATCTGGTTCTTATTAAGGTAACTTTTGTATTACCATACAAAGCATAGGTTGAGTTTCTTTCATTATTATTGAGAAATTCATTTGTTCTCACGCTATTATAAAGACTATTATATGTTATTGAATTGCCTTTATGTCTTGGTCATAAGTAAGTGGGCATATTCATATCCGCCTATTTCTGCATTTTTAATGTTATTTATTGCCAGAGGCCAAAACCTCTGTCCATACTGCACTGTCTTGTGAAATGCATAAAGTAGTTCTATACTCCTTGTGGTAAAAATCGTGAAGTCTTTCCCTTTTTTTTTTTTGTTTTGCAGAACTGGGGATTGAACTCAGGCCCTTGCGCTTGCCAGGGAAGCACTTATTCTACTGAGCCATCCCCCTGGCTCCTCAGTTTTCTTTTTATGGGTTTATTTTTATCTTTTTATATTTAGGAAGCATGTTGCTGTTAAAGAAACTTTGCAAAACTGTACAGTAGATTCTTAAAAGATTTTATATGTTGAGGCTTACATGAATTATTTTCTTCTCTAAATCTCCTTTCATTTATTTCATAAATGTTTTGTAATTTTCAGGTAGTAAACCTTGGACATATTTTATTGATTTTTTTTATTTTTTTGGCATGGGTGGGAGTGGGTTTGGGACTAACCCAGGGGTTCATCCATTCTAGGCAGATACTCTTATCACTGAGCTAAATCCCAGCGATGGTTTTAAGTTTTTGTGATGGTTCTCACTTGCCTACACTGGCCTAGAACTTGTGGTCCTCTTGTGTCAACCTCTGGAATAGCTGGGATTGCAGGTGTGCACTATCACCTGCTTGAATTTAATGTAAATTCTTTTTGTGGGGCCATTTTATGTGAGATTGACAGGTTTGGGGCTTTTTTGGTGCTGGTTGTTCAGAGATGGGTCCTCTATGTTGGCCTCTAACTCTTAGGTGTAAAGGATTCCTTCGTTTTAGCTTCTGCTTGAGTAGCTTAGATCACAACTACCACCTCACCCAGCTTCACACTGCTGTTTCCATATGAGCATTCATAGAGAGGGCTGTTTCCAAGTGTTGACCTTGCATGTTGTGGCATTGCCTAACTCAGCTGTTAGTCCCATCAATATTTTTAAATATATTCCTCAGGATTTTTTTCATAATAACATTATTTGCTAATATTGAACCAATTTCTAATCTTCATTACTTTCATTTATTGTCATATTTCAGTATCTTTAAGTATGATGATAAATAAAGGTGAAAAGTAGCTATTCTTTATACTTACGTGATTGATGGTTGAGGAAAATACTCAGTGTTGAGCATTAAACACAGCACTTTCATGATAGAGGATAATGATAGTGATAGATGATAATGCAATGTAGAAAGCTTCCCTTCTTGGGCTGGGGAGATAGCTCAGTGGTCTAAGCGCCTGTCTGGCAAGTGCAAGGACCCGGATTTGATCCCTGGTGCTGCATGCTATGCTGGCCCTGCTGAGCTGGCTACTGAAACGGTGTGGTGGCGCATGCCTATAATCACAGCACTGGGGTGCTGAAACATGAGGATCAGTACAAGTCTGAGCTGCTTAGTGAGTCTGTATCAAATAAATAAACTATTTTTTTAAAAAAAGAAGCTTTCCTTCTAAATTGCTGAGGGTATCTATTAAGAATGAGTGTGGTGGGGCCGGGGAGATGGCTCAGTAGAATAAGCACTCCTTGGCAAGCGCAAGGGCCTGAGTTCAATCCCCAGTTCTGAAAAAAAAAAAAAGAATGAGTGTGGAAATTATGTAACCTGTTTTCCTACAGCCTCTGGAAGGGTAGTTCCTGCAAAACAGTCTTGAAGCGTCCTGTCATTCATTGAGCTGGTTTGGGTTCCCAAGGATGGTGCACTAAATGCCAGGATGATCAGTCCAGACTATTAAGAGACACTCATGTGCCAACAGATCTTGATTCCCTGAGCCCTACAGTTACTGGTCCTAAGACATTTTCCATGGGTCTTATTTTCAGGTACTCTAGAGAATGTATTTTGCTGCCAGCCCTTCTCCACCATTTTTAATCTAGGAACAGCATTGAATGAACTTGTTTTCTTTCTCACTAAATCCTCATTTCTTCAGAAGTGGTGGACAGGACAGACCTGAGAGGCCTGGAACTAGCCCTATGGAGACATGATGCTGGAGCGAAGGGATACTTGAGTCTTGAGAATTTAAGACAGTATCTGCTCACAGATTTTTTAATTTTTGTGACCAAAATATTTGTCATGCATCTCACAATTTCTCAGCTGTATTGTCAAATGACTACTTTATTTTGCCACCTTTGGAACAGAATACAGGGCAGGGGCCTGGCAGTGAGACTATCTTTTGTTTGTCCTTAAACTGATTTAGAGGACATTTAAATTTTTTTTTTAATATATACATATATATTTTCTTTTTGAAATAGGGTCTCACTATGTAGCCCAGGCTGATCTCAAACTCACAACTATCCTCCTGCCTCAGCATCCCAAGTGTTGGGCTTACAGGTGTGTACTAGCACCCAGCTTTCACTTCTGCTTTTTGAGACAAGGTCTATGTAGTTCAAGCAATCCTTGAACTCACTATCTGGCCTAGGCTGGCCTCTAACTTGCATTTGTCCTCCTATCTCAGCCTCCACAGTGCTGGGTTGACAGGCATATGCCACCATGCCTGGCATACAGGACAACATTTAGAAAATTCATATCCATGTCCTCTATTAATTTGGAAGTGTATATGTTTTCAGGAACAGGAACTTTCTGATCTTGTAGAGACTGTCCATTCCAGAAATACCCAATCCCAAGTGGTAGCGAAGGACTTCTTCAGTGTGTGCCTTCCATAGGCAAACAAAACTCTCCGGAAGTCCAGTCCTTTAACTGCTGCTTTTGTGCAGGTCTCACAAATGGAGGAATTAACTCTGCTGTCACTATCCAGGGCCAGAAGTCTAGAACTAGGGACAGCCTCTACTGAAGTAATTCCTGGAGAAAGAGGGCCAGGGGTGAGGAGGACGGGAAAGAGAAGTGAGAAGAAAAAAGATGTGCCATGTAGAGGCAGCTAACAACCCCAGTTAATGTAAACACTACACCAGTAATATGAGCTAAGACATACACTAAGTACCCAGAAAGGGACAGGAGAACCTGAGGAGGAGAGAAAGGGGTTAAGAAAAAAAGCTGTAATATGTACAAGTAACCAGTGCCAAGATGACTGTAAGCTGCATGAACTGCAAACACATACTAATAAAACATGAAAATTTAAACCTGCCTGGCTTAATCTCCTGTGATCATTCCTTGTTGCAGAAACACCTAAAGGTCTTGCTCTGGCCGTTTCCTCGCTGCTGTTTGGCCAGCCCTTCTCCTGTATTTCTCCACTTGGCCTTGATGATATCATGTGTGCTCCTCCTCTTGGCAACTTTAACAGGTATCTCTTCATTGGTGACTGTCTCAGGATCTTTTAGCTTCACCATATTTCACTAATATAGACTGACATTTAAAATACGCTTTAGTAACAAATGAGGTTCTGAATTTTAAGAATTAAGCAAAGATAATCTGCCATTTCCTTGCAATTTGGGAAGCATAGAGGCCGGGGTACCAAACAAGACAAGCCAGAGCACCATGGGTGTTGGTGTGATCAGAGCCAAGAAGGGCTGTCGACGTGAGACAGCCACAACCGGATGAAGGCCACTAGTAGGAGGTCTTCAGGGAGCTGAATGATGGCGATCTTAGAAAAGTACTTCCCCTCATTACCTGATACTTCTAAAGGGCCAAGCGTAACAGACAAACATTCTTTGGATGTCTTTTTTCCATCTCTTCGTTGAAGGAGAACTGGCCTTCCTCTCCCAGGCCTGCCTATCCTATACTATTTATTTTGCTTGATTATCACCCTTTCACAGGCATCCTCATCATTCGCCATCCTACACCTTACTGCATCTGCAGTTGTGGGATCTCCAACCCAAGTTGTGCAACTCTTGCTCCTTCCCTGCGGTCAGGGAAAATGGCTCAAGCTTGAAATACTCTTCTTTGTTCCTTCTTCGTCTTCGCAGTGATTAGTGGTGACCACACGTGTAGACTGCCCGTCTGTATTAGCCTTAAATGTCATCAAAACCACCCACAACGCTGTTCCATACGGATATGTCGCATCTGTCCCTTTCCCAGACGTCCTTGAAATACCGGACTGCATCAATAGAGACCGGGAAAATCTAGGGCTGGAATGAGTCCTTTCTATGTACCTCGATCCCGCTAAATTCTCCTTGAGTCAAGCTCTGGCCAAATAATGGAGAATTTGGATCCCCGATTTATGTGCGTCGTGAGGAGGCGGCCCTGCGCGGAACTCACATAAAAATATGCTCTTTGAAATTTCCCGAGACTCCACAGATATCAGATTAAAAATAATTGCGTTACCCAGAAGGCATTGCGGCGCGCCCGGAGCTTGAATTGACCAATTGCAGCCCGGGAGAGGGGCGTTTCTTGCCGGAAACTGAGGCGGGACTTCGGATGCTTCCGTGTTCGTCATCTTCCCGCGCCCGAACCCGTCAGGTTGAGCGCCGCCCGCCTGCCCGTGGAAGGTGTGGGCGGCGCAGGGAGCAGTAAGCTCTGAGGGCCGCGTTTCCGCGAGAGCCTGGCACCACCTCCTTCCTCGCGGGTGTCCCATGGGCGGTGCCTGCTCCAGGCCTCCGCTGTGGTGGGCGGCGCCCTCACCGCCTGCGCCCTTCGCGTGGGAGAAACCCCCGGGCAGGGGGCAGCTGCAGGCCGCCGGCCCCTCGGTCCCCGGCGTCCGCGATGGCGGCGGCCCAGGTGAGTGGACGAGCGTCCTGGCCCCGCCGTCCGCGGAGTTCGTCCCGGGTTCCCCCCAACAGGGGCGCCGGCTGAGTGCGCCCCGCTGCGGGTCCGCTCACACCGCCCGTGCCCGCAGCCCGCCCGCCCTGGCCCTGCTCCGCCCTGGCCGTGGTTCGTCCGGTTCCTTGCTCCTGAGAGCCAGGAGCCAGCGCTCACGAAGCTGACGTGCGCTCTGCAGCCGGTCTGCACTCGGCCTTGCGGGTGACGCTGCCTGGGTCCTTGCGTGGCCTCCCTTCTGCCCTCATCAGGAACTGACCGCTGTGCCCGTCACCACGACGTGTTGCTCCGCTGTGTGTGGGGAAGTCAGGAGAAGTCACTTGCAGTCAGTTGCTAGACCAGCTTGCCTCGTTCCAGAGTCACTGAGTGCTGGGAACGCGGGCATGTGGTATGTCAGGCAGGGAGATCGCGGTGCACTCAGGACAGGCACATTGGTTTAAAAGGAGTCCTCAGGATCCCTTGGGTTTCCTCATCCTGGTACTCCTACCCTGGTTGAGTAAGATCGTGGTTTCATTTTCTTGCCACAGTGGAGATTGAATCTAGGGCCATGAGAGTACTAGGCAAATGCTCCTGCAGAATTGCACATTCCCAGTTCCTTTATTAAGTTCTTCTCTTTCCTTCAACTTGTGATCCTGCCTCAGGCTCCTATGCACGTGAGATTCCAGGATTGCATCACTATACCTGAACATGCAATCTTTTGATGGGTGTTAGGTTGGATTCACCCAGAACATACAGGCCAGTCCAGACCCTAGTTTCTCATGGCCATTGCGTGTAGTGCTGTCGGGACTCGTGTTCCTTTTAGCCTCAAGTATAACTCCTACCAAAGGCTGTAGGAAAAACAGCGCTTATTTTGAACTATGAGGTCCAGAAGGAATGTTGAAGGCTGCAGGAGCTGCCACTCACCAGACAGATTCCACTACCTTAGATGTCGCTCCAGTGAGATGGATGATGATGCCCTCCCCACCCAAGTCCACAAAAATGTTATCAGAATGTTACTGTATCTTGATATGGATACAGTAGTGAGACTTACTTGGAATGCATTACAATCTTGTGGACTGTGTGTTAATTCTGCTTGTAGAGGAAGGTTGTCCTTGCATAAGTAGTTTGCCCACCAGTGGACTTTGGCTTAAATGCTGTCTCTTTTGTAAGTTTGGGTGAAATGGTAGAGTTTCCTGGACCTCCAGTCTCTGGGTTTGAAACAGAGATCGTGATAGTGTTCATTTGTGGGGCTGCGGCCCATCACCTATCGATCCGACTGTTGTCTTTGTTTCTTGCTCTCTTTCTTTCTTTCGTTTGTTTGTTTCTTCCATCAAGGTCTTACTGTGTAGTTCAGGCCTCCTGTTCACTATGTAGTTCACACTGGCTTTAAAGTCATGGTTATCCACCTGCCTCAGCCTTCTGAGTGCTGGGATTATAGACGTGTGCACGCTGATCTCACCCCCAGCCATATTCTTCTTTTAAAAGCACCTTTAAAAAAATTTTTTTTCTTGAGCTAAGATTAGCAATTCAGGCGAAGAACAGTCTCATAGTTACACTGTCAAGTTGATTTCTGGAGTTTGTTTCTAACCCTAGGAATTTGGCTCCTGAGCTGTTCTTGTCTAGTCCCTTAGCCATGACACAGAAAGTCCTTATCAGGAGCCAGGTGCACAGCAAGGACTGGTGAGACTGAGGCACTGTTGCTGTGTCCATGTATTACTTTTGCTGTCGTTCTTTCCTATTCCTCAGTGTCTCTGAGCCCTTGCTGGGTGTGCCTTACAGCCCCCTGGGGATTGTCCCAGCTGTGTCCCAGTCTGCAGTGTCTTCCTGCCTGGGTAGCCTCTGTCATGCACACTGCTGGGATCTGGCCAGGCAGCACTCTCTGTACCCTGGAGCACAGCCCCGAGCTCAGCCCTCTGGGGGTGCTTGGTGCTTGGCCCTTGGGTGTCTGTGCCTTTTGCTGCGCTTGAGTGACACAGACTCATGTCCTGTCACCAGTGCCAAGGCAGATTCTGCTCCCTGTGTTTGCCTTCCCAGGTGTCTGTCACCTTTGAAGATGTGGCTGTGAGATTCACTGCGGAGGAGTGGGGGCTGCTGGACCTTTCCAAGAGGACCTTGTACTGGGAGGTGATGCTGGAGACCTGCGGGCTTCTGCTTGCTGTGGGTAAGGCCCCTCCACCCCTGGAGCCACTATGTCCTCCCTCAGTCTGCCGTCAGACTCCAGGCCTGGCTGGGCAGTGAGACCTCAGGAAGTGCCCTCCTTGCTGTACACAGCTCTGTTTTTTTTTTTTTTTTTTTTTAATCCCCTTGTTTGCTTTTGGATTCTTTGTTTCAGCAAGAGTTGGGAGAAAAATCTTTACTTACAGTCAAAAGAGGGATTTGTGGAGGCCATTAGGGTACTTTCTCAATGGATCTCTTCAGGCACTGCTGAATTCCATCTGGACATAGTATGGCTGAGGCTAAGGGTGTCTTGCCTGGCTTCTCATGAAGGTTTCTTTGTCACTGCTTCTGTAGTGCATCGTGCCTCTGTCATTTTGTCAAAGACATTGGTCATATAGTCTCTGAGGCTCTAGACTCCCTGTCTTCATTTTTCTATATGTATACATTGTTAGTCTATTTGTATGGTATGAAATTTTTTTGGCATCCTCATCCTTAGCAAGTGTGAAAAGTAAGAGTGTTGTAATGAGTCCTTTGTAAAGCTTGATGTACCCAGTATCAAGGGAAGATCATTACGGGATCCAGCTCTTTGCAGGACTCAGTGGTGAAAGTCTTTGCTTATAAAATGTTGATGTTATTTGATGTTCATGTAGATTTCCACTGTGCCTGTTTCTGCCAGTTACTTTCACTGCTGGGACAAAGTGCCCGACACATTGGCTGAGTTTACACACCTATAATATTCAATAACGGAACTTAGAAAAAATGGGGTATAACTATGAATGTCCATTTTGTATCTGTGTATTTAAAGTGGTTGGGATAGATATATAGTTGCATTCTCTTAATGAATAGAATGATTTGTTCTAATGGTGTTTGTAAATAGGATCACAAATCTGCATCTTGTACAGCAGTTAACCACTAAGAAGAATATATGCAGTGTATTATTTGTTGAAACTGTACTTCTGATTTGATTTGAAACTGTCTCATTGCTATCTGTTTGTCAATAAAACTTTGAAAAAAAAAACAACAAAAAAACCCAAAGTGCCCGACACAACTTAGGAGAGCTGAGGTACATTTTAGTTCGCAGTTTTAGAAGTTTCAGGCCATGATTGGTGGATCCAAACACAGAAGGAGCAGCTGGAAGGGTCTGGGCATGGACAGCTCATGCCATGTTGGCCAGGAAGCACCAGGCCCAAGAGTATGCATTTCCGGGCCAACATCCTCTAACCAGGCTAAGGCTGCAGCACAGGTGCCTCTTGATTTCTGTATCTTTGACCTTGGCCAGTCTGTTGATGCGGCTGTGGTTACAGTTTAGTCTTTCTCCTGTAGCAAGGGCCATATCTTGTCTAATAAGGCTCCTGGGTTAGTTCAGAGTACTCTGCTGGTTTGTGTTTTTGTACTTTTTTGTGGTTTTGTCTTTTGTCCTTGGTCTAAGTCTTTAGCAGGTACCTCATAGAAATCCCCACATCTTGTAGGATAGCAGTGGGTAGAGGACATCTCATGCAGCTCTTCCCAGAATTAGACTCTTGGTTAGTTTGAGTGCTCTGTGTTGTCATTTGTCTACCTGATCACTGACCATCAGGGTTGCAGTCTGGGAGATGAAAGATGCTTTTCTGTGTGCCGGGGCTGCAGTCACCTGGACCCAGTGATTAAAATCCAGTGCCAGTCCTGATTCTCAGAGATTTTGTTTCCATTGGTCTGAATGGCAAGGAGCCATTCCTAGGTCTTGCCAGTTTGCTGGGAGATGAAGGCTCTATAACTTGAATTAATTACAAAATACCAGCCAAGTAACACAGTATATGACAATAAACCCAGCAATGTGGGATACAGAGGCAGGAGGATTGCTGGTTGTAGACCAGTTTGTACAACTTGGCAACTTAAAGAGACCCTATCTCAAGAAAGCTGAATATACAGCTCGGGGTGAAGGCCCTGGGTTTAATCATGAGTATCACAAAAGAAAAAAGATACACCAGTTAAGTGTGTCTGGCCAGTGTTCAGATTCCATAGGGTGGAAATCAAAGGGTCTGGGTTTGTCTGCAGCCCTGTACTTTCTCTCCTGCCTCTGGCTCTCCCTTTGGCTGTGCTACGCTTTACCCTCTCTTCCTCCTATGTATCTGTTCTTCATAGGGCGTTTCATAGTTTCCTTTCAGGTTGCAATTCATGCAGTCTCTTTATCGAGGTCTCTTCCCCATCCTGAAGAGCTAGGTTGTATAGCAATGGTTCTCTCATCTCACCAGTCCCTGTGTTTCCTCCACGCGCAGGCTGTCCTATGTCCAAGTCAGAGCTGATCTGCCAGTTGGAGCACAGACAGGCATTGAGGAAGGCAACAGATGACCTCTCCCAAAGCATCTGTCCAGGTGGGTGCTGGCTGCCAGGAAGGTGAAGGTAACAGATTGGATGGTGGGGTGGTGACTTCTGCCTCTGCCCAGGTGTGGAAGGCACGAGGCACAGGGCTGCTCCGTCGAGATGGACCCATGCGCACTGTCCACAGCACAGGGGCTGACGCTTCCCTGGCCACCTCCAGCTGGCGGAGGGGAGATGAAGAAGTCACTCCTCTTCACCTCGCTCGGTGACAGCATGTTCAGACACGTGTGTGTGGAGGCCAAGGACCGTGCCCAGACTGTGTCTGCTCCTCAGTTTGTTCCTAAAGATTCACAGCCGTAGTATGTTGTCACTGTGTGGTGAGGTTGTGAGGGTCTGTGTGAGCTGCTGTGCTCCGTGCCTGCCCATAGCGAGTCGTTCAGGAGAAGGCTGCTGTTGGTGTTACTCCTGTTGCTCATCCTAGTGAATCCTGCTGCATTTGACCTTTGCGTCTGAGCTGTGAGGAGCGAAGCCTTTGCTGTGTGCTCTGGTTCCATCTCACCCCGACTCCTCTGCACACGCCCTTAGGACCAGCGAGCTCAGAAGACCCCTTCCTGTGTGTCTTTTTGCCCCTACTGTTTAGCAGAGCCCCACTGGATCCTTTCTGCTTCCGCCTGGGCTGCTGAGGGCCCTGGGCCATCGTGCACTGGCTGGCGCCCTTCAGAGCCCGTGTCTTCTGCTTTTGGCCCTCGTCCTGGCCGTGCACTACTCCCCGTCTCCTCTGCACCCTCTCTGCAGTTGTGGCTGGGTGTGCGGGCATGGAGTCTGTGTCACATTCACTCTGCACTCTGCCCTGGCCATTCCCTCTGAGTTTTTCTTTAAAAGTCTAAAGAACCAGTGCTGGGTGCTGTGGGCTATTGTTTCCTTGTAAATGAACTGAGCACATGTACAAATGCAGGCTTTGGTTGCAGTGCCTTGGGTCATGAACGCTTTTCTGCGAGAGCAGTTTGGTTTATAAAATGTGCAGAATTTGCTTCTGTTTTCAAACTCTGCATTGGGACAGATGTGACCATGGCTGCCTTCCTCTTCTGATGGGGTCATGGCTCCATTAGTTGAGATCATAGTTGTAGACACACCTGTGCACACTTGCTGAGCAGGCTTTTGCTTTTTCTTTTTTATTTTTTTGGCAGAACCAGGGATTGAACTCAGGGCCTTGCGCTCACCAGGCAAGTGCCATTTCCCTGGCCCTGGCTTTTGCTTTTTAACACATACAGTCTTATTCCAGTAATGCTCCAAGGGATGTGCTGCACGAGTATGGTGCTAAGAAGAAAGCGCAGAGTGGTAGTAAAGGTGGTCACAGAGCGCAGAGCAGTAATGAAGGTAACAAAATGCAGAGTAAGAGTGGTAGGACGGTTGTGAAGAAAATAGCAATTGAACTGCAAGTGGAAATGGTAGCAAAGCATGTGTGTGGCACTCATGTGAATGATCTGGCCTTGGAGCACAACAGGATGAAGTTGACAATCTCAACTGCTTTGAAAAATAAAGGTACTGCCAAAGGAACTGATGTGACAAT